TTGTTTTTTTTGAACTTTCAAACTTACTTTGAAACTTTTATTTGAACTTTCAAACTTTAAAGCTGTCTTAAATTTCAAGTGGACTTAGACATGGCACAGAACAAATCTATGCTATTTTTCTAACATTCCTAAAGCACATAAAGCACAGTTACCCTCTCTAGAGTCATCAGGCAGACAGAAGCACTACCCATGATGCAAATCTGTGATGCAAATCTGTGTCTATTGTGAAGTAAATTTCATGAAGCGAGTTAACTCAAAATGTTCATCTGTCTTGTTTATTTAAACAAGTGTGAACGCCCCATTACAAACTAATAAATCAATATTCTGCTGTTAATTTTACTTTTTTTTTTTTTTCTGTGGAATTTACAAATGATATGCAAATGTGTTCCACATCCCAGGCTCCTCCTCTCAAAACGGCAGCGCACTGAGACAGGACTTTTCTGTCGGCAACTATGGTTCCACCAAACGGCAGATGACATCACCATCTGATGGCTCTCTGTCATCCGGAGGGGGCATGGACTGCGGTGGTGATGCCCCCCTCTCCCAGTTCGACAGAGAGGTCAGCGCTTGAACTTTCTGCTATTTTCAGATATTCACTTATGACCAAAAACAAACAAAATCAGGGATCTGTTCTTTGGACGTGGATTAAGTAATTTAAAAAAATTATAAACAAAATAATTTATCTACACTTCGAAATAAAGGTTTCAAAAAGAATATATATTATTATGGACTTTTTAGATACAAATGAGTATTATTTTAAGGTACCGATCCAGCTTTAGGACAATTTCTGTATGATAATAGACATGGCCAATATTATTATTATTATTATTTTTTTTAAAAAGAAATATTATGTTATGGGAGTCATGCACATGTTTTGACAGGTGATTTGATGCTCTGCAGAAGTTCAGGGCCAATCATGATTTTGTGGCTCGATAGATTTGTCCTTCACAACACGCACAGCAATCTCAGATCAGTTAATCCAGATGTTTTAATTTGATTCACGAAATTGTTTGAAGAACCAAAGTAGCCAGAGATTAGTTATCAAGATTAAAAGATTCAGGATCTGCTAAGTCATCTTAGATCAGGGATTCTAAACCGATGGTCTGTGGCCCACTAGTGGGCCTCAGCCATCCTGCATATGTGCTGTGAGATAGCTTAAAAGTAACCCTCAATATTACACTACAATTTTGTTACTTTATTAATATGCTATATTAAAATGATCGAAGTAATGCAGTTTCTCCTGTTCTCTGACTGATTACTTTAAACTTGACGCAAAAAAAAGCCTCATGATTGCATCTGCAACAAGTACACACAAGTCTGTTCATTCACAAACTATGCGTGAAGTGAAAGTCTCTCTTTGTGTATATTTGTGTGAACAATTTATTATATCCACTTAATTGTCCAAATTAATCTCCTGTGAGTGTTATATAACGAACGCGTGCCTGTACAGGAGGATCCATAGAATGTAAAATAAATTTGCAAATGACCTTTAGACATGCCTGGCAGAGCTATTCACTGTTTCTGTCTGTGATCTCCCGATAATATCCAGCTGCAAACTCAACCGCCATCAGACTGACACTTTTATATAATGTATATAATTAGTTTTATATATAATTTATTATTATTATATTATTATTATTTATTTATTTTTAATAAATAAAGATTTAAATATTTTTTTATAAAATGCTGATAATATATATATTTTATATATTTATATATATATATATATATATTTTTTTTTTAATATATATATATATTTTATATAAATATAAATGCTGATATATATATATATCAGCGTATTTCTTCTTCTTTTTTTAATAAATAAAAGTTTAAATGAGCATTTCATACAAACATTTTTAAGAAAGTGTCAGACCGGTGGGCCCTCAGAAATTAATTGGAGAAAGAAGTGGGCCCTGAAGTTAAAAAGGTTGAGAACCCCTGTCTTAGATCATTTAAGCGAGGTACGAAGAACAGACCCCAGCTCTGAGTTGAAACAAAATTTATTTCGAAATCATAATATTTGAAAATCAGACTTTTATTTTTTCTGGCTAAAAATGCAGTGCTCTATGAAGATACGTAATGTCATGTGGGAATAAGAGGTGTGAACCTACACCGGTCTCATGGTTCAGCTTGGTTACGATTGTCATGCCATCGATTCAGTTCAATTCGATATCTCCGGTTATCATGGTGCATTGACGATGCTTTCCATACACAGTTTTATATTTTGCTTCACAGCACAGGAAACATTTCTAAATATATTTATGTTTATATATTATTTGTAATACGATTCTGTCCATTAATACAAACAGTAGAACTGTTTGTTTAAAAACTCAAGCACATCCACAGAACAACATGAGCATTTATATTTATATTTATTTATAGCAAATAAACAAATGTAAATATCCCGCTTGCTTTATGAGCACTGTCGAGCGAGTTCTTACACCCCTTTGATCGGTCACATGCTCAACAGAAAGGGCTGTGATTGGCTCTAACACTCTGGTGCTGTTCACCGATGAGTGACACAGGTAAACAGCAGCGGCGCTCACAACTGATCCATGATAGACAGGGTTGAGAAAACTCGCTCTGCAGACACGCTCATGTCTGGGTCCACAAGCATCGCTATAACAGCCGAGAGGAGAGGAAACGTCACACCAGAAGGTCAAAGGGCCACAGTGAAAGAAATTTTTAAGTGTACTTTCATTTTCTCAATTGCTGTGACTTCAGTGTTAGTGAAAGACTGTCCAGCAAACACTCACACAGTAAATTGTGCAGAGTTTCTGTGTTTTTAAGTAGTTGCAGTGTTTTAATTACGTGCAGTTGCCTCCCTCACCATGGTAAACTACCGCAACATAGTGCAAATGAGATCAATTATGTCAGTACGTAATAACTGGTTATGATCTATCACTGAACCGATACCAAATTGTCCGCTTCTGCAATTAATTTTGACACCCCTAGGAATAATAGTGTCTTTTCTACACTAGAACACAGATAGGATTTCAATTGTGAATGTGCCTTTGCCCTTTTCTGGTGTATTATTTGTTTCATTGTTTGTTTAACCTGTCAGTTTGACCCCCAGACAATTCAGGACAGGTAAAGGTTTCTCTCCTGGAGCTGTTTGTGATTGTAACCACAGCTAAATCTCAATAGAGAGCACTAGAAGTGTGTTTTCAATTCCTGAAACCAAAACACACGCATTTGTTTTATTTCACCTGCTAAATTGTGGTTCTCCATCCTCTCTTTCTCACGCTCTATGCATGTGTTGAGTGTGTGAAGTGGCACCATATCCACAGATTGAAGTGTTGACCTGTGAGCACTCCACCTACACACACACACACACACACACACACACACACACACACACACACACACACATAGCTTTCGCCTCACCCTCGGACTTATGTTTGACCGTATACTACAGTATATAATGACGTGTGGGTGCTGTGTGTGACTCTTTAGTGGCCGGGAGTTTCACCCACAGAGAAGACCCCTGATCTGAAAAGGGCTTTAAGGACCCTGCTTAGTAAGCTAAAGGTAACATTCATGACCTGCTCCCCCAGATCTGAACCCTGTAGCTCCGTCATGTGTTTTTATGTCCCCTCAGATGGAGAAAGTGGATTTAGCCGAGCAGCTTCCACACTAAAAGCATGTTTGATCTGTGTAGGTGGTGGAAGCGTGTAACGTTTGCTAGCTTCAGTGTTAGTATTGGTGTTAAAGGGATGGTTCACCCCCAAAATGAAAGATTTGACATCCTTAATTAAATTTGTTGGTAGACATTTTAAAAAATGTTAGAAACCTTTGACCATTGGCTTCCATAGTATTTATTTTTCCTACTGTGGACATCAATGGTTACAGCAGGGGTGTCCAAACTCGGTCCTGGAGGGCTGATGTCCTGCATAGTTTAGCTCCAACTTCCTCCAACACACCTGCCTGGAACTCTAGTTTACCTTGACAGAGCTTGATTAGCTGGTTCAGATGTGTTTAATTGGGGTTGGAACTAAAATATGCAGGACACCGGCCCTCCAGGACAGAGATTGGACACCACTGGGTTACAGGTTTCCAACATTCTACAAAATACCTACTTTTGTGTAGACACTGGACAGTGAGTAATTGTGTATTTTTTGGTGAACTATCACTTTTATGTGTCATGTAGTACCTTTATCTGTTTAATTTAGATTTCGTAGTGGAGAATTATCGACGTGGTTGTTTTAGCTAGTCGACATCAACTGTTTAATCAGCTGCTGTTTGCCTATATTTATACATATCGACCAATGAGTGTGCCAGCAGGGTGGATTAGTATATTTCTATCAAAACCACAATTTACCATCAGCCTAGTAAATGGATAAAAAAAATATATTCTGAGATATTTCAGTTAATTTGAATAAATGTTGAGCATTCATTATATTCTGCAAGTTTATAATATAATTACTTTGTTTATTAGTTTTTTATAGCAATTACAGCATTTGTTTAATGTTTTTTTTTTTTTTTTTTTTTTATTGGCTAGTGGATATTTTGTAACTCAAAAAAAGCTTATGATCAGTTATTCAAATAAATAAGCTCATTACGACACCAACATTTTAGATTCCAAGTTAAATTGAACAATTCCAACTACAAAACAAATATAATGTTGAAACATTATTGAAGGCTAGAGCCAGGAGTAAGGTACTCACACTATGTACAGTTGCCCTAATCTGGGCCAAAGCACGCTTGTCCCCCCTCCCGTCTCCCCCGACAGCTCGCACTTACATTACATTCAAGCCTGGGCACGCTTACGTCATCGATAAAGCACTGTTCAGTTACCGATTTCGCTCAGCATAGCGGAGATTTCTTTAGTTATATTGTTTTAGTCATTGAGAATTCAGTGACACACCGTCAAATATTTAGCCGAACAGATTAGCCACTTTGAACGCTCATAAAGTCTTCGTGCTGCAGGATTTAGGAGGTTTGCTGAAGGTGTAGCTGTTGTGCAGCGATGGGTTTGCGTCATTAATAAACTACGACGGTTTGTGTTCATTGAACAGTAAGAATAAATAATTAACGCAAATGAAACAGTCCCTTAAAAGTCACGTCTCGTCTTCAGTTTCACACTATAAGTGAACCTCACCAAAGCCCAAGTGAACCGCGCTCTGGCACACCTCTTTCAACCGGGCCAGGGCCAGCCAAGTGATGCGGCTTAGTGGTTAGCATTTTTGCCTCACAGCAAGAAGGTCGCTGGTTCGAGTCCCAGCTGGGCCAGTTGACATTTCTATGTGGAGTTTGCATGTTCTCCTCGTGTTGGCATGGGTTACCTCCAAGCGCTCCAGTTTTCCCCACAGTCCAAATAATGTGTTATAGATGAATTTGGTAAACAAAATTTGCCGTAGTGTATTTAGTGTATTTCCTTCTGCTTAGTCCCTGGTTTATCAGGGATTACCACTGTGAAATGAACCACCAATTACTTGACAGATGTATTTTTAATTTTAGGTGGTTTGTGTATGTGTTTTATGTTTGGCAAAATAATTTCTAATTGCATCTTTAGTGATTTTCAGCCAATTACTATGTCTTGTACAAATAGGTGGATTCGGAGGGTTTTGCATAAAAAGCAGTTGTGGATTTAGCTGGTTTTGACGCAAAAGAAAATTTACTTTGTTAAAAACCAAAGAATTGTCTAAAGTGACATTTTTGAAAAAGAGGTGTTTTATTTACTAGATAAATAACCTTAACATTACATATACAATGAAACGTCTAAACCCAATCAGAGGAGCCTGATAGAAAATGCTCATTTACAAGAAAAGAGGTCTGATGGATTTAGAAGGTTGATAGAAAATGCTCATTTACAAGAAAAGAGGTCTGATGGATTTAGAAGGTTTTGCATCTGAACTCTTCATATTTTCAGTGTCATTATCCAACCTGTCACATAATGCAGATTTTTTCAAATTATTCTCCCTTTGTTATCAATATTGAAAACCATTGTGCAGTCTAATATTATATATATGTTTCCTCTAGAATTTTTTCGAGCTGTGGCGGCAGGCCTTTTTTTACACAGATCTACCAACTACCTGGCGTTATTTCAATGACAAATGTCGTGAGCGTATTTATGCGCATGTCTACGAACATGTGCTACTCAAGTGCAGATCTTGTTGTGCTCTCTCAAATAAACGCTGCTGAAGTGCGATTTAGTGCGTTTATGTAACAAGTTTGCCTCCAACATTCATAAGATTTGCTAGAAATATTATTTATGAATGTCTCCAATATACCTAAAGAGCCGTATTAATGCTTACTGAAGTAAAGTGAAACGGCTCTACGTCGTGTTTGCTGGACTCACGCATCACACACCTGTCAGTCAGTCAGCACGTAACCCTAAAGGGTTAAACAATTAACGCACAGCACTACTACGGTTACAGAAAAAATTTATCTGTTATAATTCACTTACCTTTTAAAATGTTTTTGTGCAATTATTATTGTAATCTAGCCGTGCCGGGATCAATTTTGGAATGGTGCCCCAACGTGGAAGAATGAATGTAGCGGAAACCCCGCATATATATATATATATATATATATATATATATATATATATATATATATATATATATATATATACATTTCAGGATATCAGCATTTTTGAAACCAAAAGCTTTGTAAATAAAGCCAGTTTTTTTTTTACTGTCCATTCATCAAAATAAATGGTCTAAATAAAATAATTCTTAAAAAATATTGACCTCACACTGTGAAATGTAGTGTATTGCGTCTGTTTATTTATACTGTATGCTCTGTCGGGAACATTTTAAAATAATGGCCCAATAGTTTATGCTAGTTATGTATTTACTAACATGAACAACCAAATAGAAATACATTTATTATGGTATTTATTCATCTTTGTTAACATTTAATATTAGTTAATATTATGAATATTAGTTCATTTTAAGTCACGGTGCATTAACTAATGTTAAAAGCCCGGCATTGGCTATTAATAATGCATTAGTAAATGTTGAACTGCTGTATGTTTATAAATGCTGTTATTAATTAGATTGTTAATACTACGTTATTGTTTATTAATGCATTAACTAATGAACCATTATTCAATCAATCCATCAATCAGCCTTTGCGTATATACCGTAGCACCTTACTACAGTCAAGGTTGACCAAAGTGCTTTACAACAGTAAAAACAAATGATAAAACCCAACTAGAAAGCAAACCGTGCAAAAACAAAACAAGAAATGTCAATAAAATACAGTAAAACAGAGAAGAGTGCCAGTGCTACTATGCATTAAAAGCCAATTTGAACAAGTGGGTCTTACAATGGACAATTATTCTGAAGTGTTACTGCTCTGTGTTCATGTTGTGGTTCCTAATAGAGTTATTCTAAAGTGTTAACACTCTTTGTCTGTCATGATTTCAGGATTCAGAGTCTCCACGTCACTCCACAGCCTCCAACAGCTCAAACCTGAGCAGCCCCCCAAGCCCTTCATCCCCACACAAGAGCAAGACCCAATCTCTGGAGCGCGGCGAGCACCTCGGCTGGGGCACATGAGCAACTCTGACCAGAAATCACCAAAAAATCAAGACGTCCAGCCATCCTCTGGCTCCTTCTCTGCTACCAACAGAGTCACACATTTAACCAAGACCAAGAGCCGACTCCTTATAAATCATATTCCCAAACATGGCGCTGGGGGCCAGGTGTGTGTGTGTGTGTGTGTGTGTGTGTGTGAGAGTGACTGAGTGAGTGTGTTTGCGTGTATTAGTGTGCATATGCATAACACGTGTGATTGCGATAAACACGCATATTACTGTGCACCTTACATCCCTTCACCACTGATACTGTGTTGGATGGAGAAACAGACCACTGAGTGTAGCTGATCCACCAGGTGTGTGTTGCGGGTGGAGAAAAAGACAAATATAAAGCTTTAACGTGAGTTTATCAGTGTGCCTGATTTTACGTATGTATTCAGAAGTCTTAATGGACCCCGTGGGAATGTTACTTTAAATGCATAACACAAAAAAATTACAGTCGTTAAGAATCGTGGGAACTTTGAACTTAAACCTAATATGGAAACGCTATTATTAAGTTGCGCCCTGATAAGATATAGCGCCCCCTGTCTGTGGCACTACTGTATAACTCTGTAGCCTCTACCCTCCAGTGCCATGCAGACCTTCACATTCAGAGGTCAAGAAGAGATTGTGAGTTCAATAATGTAAATAGAGTTTTAGTAGAGTATAATATATTATGGAATCGTTAAACACTATTTTGTTGATGATAAATAAGTATGGCTTTTTAAGAGAGAGATTTCTTTCCTTTGGATTTTTTTTTTTCGTGGCAAGGTTATTGTCGGTTTAAGGATTACTTTGTCAAGATGCTTTTTTTGTTTCGTTATTTCCACTGAAATTGCTCAGATTAAGATTAGGAAAGGGAACACTACGCAAACTTGTGGGGCGTCATTTGTGAAACACAATATTAATTTTGTTTGTGTGTGTAAATCATTCGTAAGGCGTTCTTATCTAAATTTATTCATTGTACTGCATATGACATTAGCTCGGAATGAAGTCGTTCTTAAAATTTAGAGCTGTGGCAAACAACATTATTCGAGAAATCATTTCTGAGATTTTTAAAATGCATCGTCATTTTCTCCTGAATGGATTCTGAGCTTAGGTTTTTCATTCATTCATTCCCTTCGGCTTAGTTCCTTTATTAAACAGGGGTTTGGGATGGGATGGGACTGACCCATCATGCCACCCAGCTTAGGTTTTTATTTTTTTATTGAAGGAAAAGAAAACCTTCACACATAAAAACAGTAAACATTGCAGTTTCCTTCTTTCTATTTTTGTTTTATCCTAAGATCTGAACATCCCAAGGCAGCTTAACACAATAATTAGGGTCAAATACAATGATATCATTGAAAATACAATGTAATCTATATTCAGTCTAACTGCTCACAACGTCTACATTAAACCTAAAATAATCATTAATAAAGTTGGGAAAGGTTTAAGCAAATTACAGGAGTGTTTATAGTGAGCTGAGTTTACACAAATCTTGTAAACTTACATGACACAAGCTTTCTTTCTCATGAGCATTTCCGTGTACGTAATTTTTTTTTGTTGCCTAGAACGCCATCTGCTGTTATAAAGCTAATCGCAGAATTGATTTAAAAATAGAATTTTACAAATATTTCAATCTATTTCTCTAATTATTTTTGCCACAGCTTTAATGAAGACCATCATGTGCAAATTGTCTTGGGCAAATTTTCCTTGGGCTCAGTCCCTTTATAAATCAGGGGCCGCCACAGTCGAATGAACCTCCAACTTATCCAGAATTTTTTTTACACAGTGGATGTCACCCGAAATCACGACATTGCAAAAAAAAACTATTATAGAAAATATTTGAACAGCTCAAGTAAAATTGTAATAAAATAAATACTGTAAAATCTTATATATATTGTCATAACAAAAGCAAGATTTGCAAGGTCGTAGTAAATTATTGTAAAAAGTACCTGTGTAAGTTTTCTGCATAATTGAAGTTTCACAAACTAATTTCAAAATAAATTTAATTCGGCTGCTCTCTCATCAGTAATCATCCGCAAGCCAATCAGATTATTCCAAACTCACTATAAATATCCCGTCTAGCATTACTCCCTTATCTTTGTTTTTGAAGAATCCCCCATCTTACCTATCTCCTTCTTTTCATCCTTTACCAAGGGGATCTCTTGAGAACTACCAGATCTTGTACCCCCCTTATATGCTCATCAACCAGGCGGGAACCCTGGGCTCAATTATTTCTGAGTTCAGGGTTCTCTCTTGGGACAGCATGCCAAACCTGCTATCATTATCAAGCAATACCTTTCAAGAGTGTAGACTCTTGAAATTGTTATGATAAACAAACATTTGTGATCGATGTTCTTATTGTCGTGAAATTGGTCCGAAATTCATTTGTCGTTAAACAAATTTTCATAAAATTACAAAATTCCTAAAAAAACGTTATATGAAATATTTAAGCAGCCAAAGTACAATTGTAAAAAATAAATTAATACTAAAATAAATTAATAATGAATAAATTGGCTAGATTGTCTCAACAGATGCGAGCTATATAAGATCGTAGTTAAATTATAACTGCAGAACTGTATAACAATAGAAATTGTTTCCATTGTGAAACTGATCATAAAACCATTTGTGCTGAAATTGTCATGTTAACAAACGTTCACAAGATCACCATGAGATCACTCATAAAACCATTATTATGGGAAAAGTAATTTAAATAAAATAATTGAAATGTCGGCATGGTGACTCAGAGGTTAGTACTGTCGCCTCACAGCAAGAAGGTCACTGGTTCGAGTCCTAGCTGCGCCAGTTGGATTTCTGTGTAGAGTTTGCATGTTCTCCCTGTGGTCGCGTGGGTTTTCTCCGGGTGCTCCGGTTTCCCCCACAGTCCAATGACATGTGCTATAGGTGAATTGAATAAACTAAATTGGTCTTAGTGAACGAGTGTGCACGGATGTTTCTCAGCACTGCGTTGCGGCTGGAAGGGCATCCACTGCTGTGTAAAACATATACTGGAATAGTTCATTCCGTTGTGTCGACCGCTGATAATCAAGGGACTAAGCCAAAGGAAAATAAGTGAATGAAATGCTAAATAAAAATTTTTTTATCAAATGTTTAATTGTTGCAGGCAAGATTTACAAGGTCGCCATTACTTTTTGTAAACGTTCGCATTAAATGCATAATTCAAATTAAGCCAATGTGCAAATTGCAAAATGTCGAGCTGAATGTAGCATTGACCAAACAACCGTCGTCAAAATGTCCTCTAAGAATGATTTACACAAACGCGGTCTGCTTGTGTTTCATCAGTGTTGTCCCCATGTGTGTGAAATCCAGTGCTAATACGTGTATACTGCTAAAAGCGTCACGTGTGCTCATAAATAAGCTTTTGTGCTGAATGTAACAGATTCATTTGCTCATCCTACTCTTGCCTGTGCTTCACCCTTCTATTACTGAAGCTATAATGCTGTTTCCAAAGATCTTTTTGTTCTGTAATTATTATTATTATTATTATTTGATGTTCAATGTTGGTTTTGGTTTTGACTCACGATAACCAAACTTTGCCTAAGATGTACATGTGAATAGAAAGTGTAGTGTTACATCTACCACTAGTTTTCGATGTTCGACACTAAACTCATCAGCTGAAGCCTTCAACGCCATTTCCTGCAGCTCATAATGACACAACAGGGACCACAAGGACCAGCCGGAGATTAGGTCACTTGTAATGTAATCAAATTCAGCGTGGGCGTACAGTAAAGCTGCTGTAGTGGTGTTTTAAAAGTGCAGGGTCGGGCTTGTCAGACATCCCTGAACCTCAGAATACCTCAATTTAAGAGCCAAGCCATTACGACTCCATCTGAACCTCATCATCGGTGCGACAATTTAGCTGTCAGCCTGTCTGATTTCACACACTAATTGGCATTTATGAATTATTCACATGCACCACTGCTCGTATTTATGTCAGATTTTTGTACATCGAGGAACCAATTTCAGCCATTCCTTCAAAATACGCTGCACAGATCTAGACGTGTGTGCAAAATTCCTACATATTCCAGGATGTTCCGAAGATAGCTCATTCAGACATGAAAATGAGCCCTCATATCCGCCTTGATTTCTCCTGTGATTTTTCTCTTTTTCATGGACGGGAAGGATACATTTGATTATAACTATGCTATACTTGCATTGCATGAATACAGACTGTATGGAAAAACATCAAAATGTCTAAAAGTAAATAATTTATGATGACTTTGTCTATAGCTGCCCCACCAAAAAAAAAAACCTCCTAATGTCGCCAGTTAACTCACTTAATGCATGTTTTAATTGTTTAAACACATCCCATCATTTTTAAAATATCAGCCTCTAGCAAATGGTTGACTTGTCGGATTATGGTAAAAGTACCAGACTTAATACTTATACTATGAAAAACAAGAAAATATGAAGTGTAATTTATTTAAAAACATAAGCAAAATACAAGATTTCTGAATACTAAATCATCTTTATTTTTTGAAGTTTGCCATAAAATATTTCAGATTCTCGTTTAATGTTTTTTTTTTTACAACCAAAATCAAGTGTAGTAGTGCAACAGGAATATGTTTGTTAGATTTTCTTGTAAACCAACAATGTGTAGCGCAAACCATTACTTAAAACAGTCAAAATATGGTCAACCATTTGGTAGAGCAGGGTGTTTAAGGGTTAAGGTATTTTTAATTTAAGGGGAGTGTGGAAGTGTTTGCAACATTTTTTTTTATAAATACAACTTTTTTTTAACTGATCTTCATAATTTTTAATTAATTTTGCAAAAAAGATTATTTATTTAAAGCTGTGTAACTTTAACTGAGCCTTCTAATCACTGTGAGAAAGTGAGGTTTTGCCTAAATATACAGCTGAAGTCAGAATGATTAGTCCCCTGTTTATTTTTTCCCCTGATTTTTGTTTTACGGAGAGATTTTTTTCAACACATTTCTAAACATAAAAGTTTTAATAACTCATCTCTAATAACTGATTTATTTTATCTTTGCCGTGACGACAGTAAATAATATTTGACTAGATATTTTTCAAGACACTTCTATACAGCTTAAAGTGACATTTAAAGGCTTAACTAGGTTAATTAGGTTAACTAGGCAGGTTAGGGTAATTAGGCAAGTTATTGTATACTGATGGTTTGTTCTGTAGACTATCGAAAAAAATATAGCTTAAAGGGGCTAATAATTTTGTCATTAAATGATTTTAAAAAAATTCCAAACTGCTTTTGTTCTAGCTTAAATAAAACAAATAAGACTTTCTCCAGAGGAAAAAATATTATCAGACATACTGTGAAAATTTGTTTGTCTTGTTTTCTGGTGCAAAGTTCTAAAGATTCTTACATCAAGATCCAGTTACTTGCAAAGCAAAATGTAACATTTTCATTAAATGAAATTAGATTTTTATGATTTTGATTAAAACAACAAATATCTGCAAACGAAAAATCAAAAAAAGCAATTGAAAATGTTCATACCCTGGTACTTTGTTTAATGCATAAGCTCTCCCAATTTTGCTCAGTTTCTCAGGAAACCTAATTTGTGCATCTTATTGAAAGAAGTTTGAATATTTGCACAGTAAAATAAAAATGCTGACTAAAAATAAAAATAGAGAAATACATAGTCTACTTCATGACATCAAATTATTGTCATGTTTAAATACGATTAAATATTTACCTTCTGTGGTAGGGGTGCCCAAACTCGGTCCTGGAGGGCTGTTGTACTGCAAAGTTTAGTTCCAGCTAATCAAGCTCTTACTAGGCTTTCTAGAAACATCTGTGCAAGTGTGTTGGGGCAAGTTAAAGCTAAAATCTGAAGGACACCAGACCTCCAGGACCGAGTTTGGACAACCGTGGTCTATGGCATAATTTTTATCCCCAATTATATATTATTATTTGTGAAATGAGGAACAAACAAGCCATAAATACATTAGAAAAAGATTTAATTCAACATAATATCAACATGTAATATTTCATCAAGGACTAGCCTTAAATGGTGTATTGTGTGTTCCTGTGGGGTACCGATTGAATATACTTATTTACTAATCTTTATTATTCCCTTCTGGAACCTCAGAACGCAGTTATTGATGGATGTGAAGCAGAGGTGGAAGCCACATTTCTGTCACTTGGCTTTAGGTCAGGGATGCCCAGGCTTAATCCTAGTGGGCCGGTGTCCTGCAGAATATAGCTCTAACCCCAATTAAGACACACCTGAACCAGCCACTCCTAAAAATGGCTTTTGCCCAAAAATGTTATAGGTCACCAACTTATTATTAGGCTTTTTTCTAATATTTTATTTTTAAAAAATCTAAAGGGGTGTTTTGTAAGCTACAAAACTGAAGGGAACACCGTGCCATAGAGGGATAAAAACATTAAGGGCTTAAATATATATATATATATATATATATATATATATATATATATATATATATATATATATAGATAGATAGATAGATAGATAGATAGATAGATAGATAGATAGATAGATAGATAGATAGATATATGGATAGATGGATAAATTAACTTTTGATGTTTTTCCATACTACAAAAATCACACTTCAAATTGTCGAATGAAAACCTCAACAGAATGCTAAACACGTTTGATCAGAAGTAAATGGCAGGTTTGGGTTTATGTTTGAGTGAGCTATCCTTCACCATTGAAGCACATCCAGCGAATGAAATCATGTCCGTTTATGCCAACACCATCTCACGCCAAGTCGTAACTTTTTGATTTAGTGGATAAATCGTACTCATTTTTACAATGTCATTTGTACAATTAAGTACGATTTACTCATCCCGCAATGACGGTTGTGTTTAGGGGCGGGGTTTGGTACCACGCCTCCTTTTTAAAATCGGACAATTTTGTACGAATAAACTCATACAAATTAGTATGAATTAAACACTAAACTGACAAAACGTAAAATAGTAACGTTTCCCCGTCAGATCAGGCTGTTTCTACCTGTGCATTCTAGCATTGCCAGCATTTATTATGTTCCATTATATGCAAGCACTATTGAAGCCTTCACCGTGGACCAGTTCAGAAACACTACGCCAGTGCTCTCAAACTCAACTCCTGAAGGGCTGCAGCTCTGCATGGTTTAGCTTCAACCCTCTCTAAATCACACCTGTTTAAGAGTTTTTAGCAGGCTGCGTTCAAAACCGCATACTTCCATACTATATAGTAGGCTAAAATCAGTATGCAGGCTGTGTAGTATCTCTAAATTGATAGAATTTGAAAAACAGAATGCGAGAAGTACCCGGGTGACCTACTGTACTACTTCTCGCGAGACTCTGAAGTGCGCATCCCATCCATACTGTGCTACCCCATGATGCCCAGCTAGAGAATTTATGAATGGGAATGAAGCGATGCAACTGACACATGTAGGTCACGTGACCATGACAAAATGGTGGATGTAGCACATCCG